TTTGTCGAAGTGTTGAAACATTTAGTTTGATTTCCTTTGCCATTGAGATGTGTCTACAAATACAACTCTGTGGTTGATGTCCAGTAGTGTATCATCTGTGTTTTCTTTTAAGTATGTTATGGTTTCAGTTCTTATATTTAAGCCTTTAATCCATTTTGAATTAATTTTTGTATATGGTATTTTCTGTATAGAATTCCTTATTTTGTTCCTCATCTTAGAGGAAATGACTTCAGGTTTTCACCATTGTATATGATATTTATTGCCCATGGGTTTGTTACATATGGCCTTTATTATGTTGAGATAAGTTCCATTTATTCTCATTTCATTGAGAGTTTGTATCCTAAATGTGTTTTGAATATTGTCAAATTCTTTTTGGGCATCTATTGAAATGATCATATAACTTTCATCTTGTATTTTTTGTGTATCTGGTGAATGACATTGATCAATTTCCATATTTTAAAACAACCCTACATCTCTGGCATGAAACCTACTTGATCATGATAGATGATTCTCTTGATATACTGCTAGATTCAATTTGCTAACATTTTGTTGAGGATTTTTGCATCTATGTTATCAGAGATATCACCCTATAATTTTTGTTTTTTGCCTGTCCTTTCGTTTTGGAATCAAGGTATGTTACCCTTAAGGAGCTTTCCACCCTCTTTGATTTTTTTTTCTGAAGAATATGAGGTTAGGTATTAGTTCCTTTTTGAAAGTTTGATAGAATTCACTAGAGAATACATCTGATCCTCTGCTTCTGTTCTTAGACAGAATTTTGATTACTCTTTCAGTTTCTGCACTTGTGACTGGTCTGCTGAAGAAGTTGTTAATTTCATCCTGGTTCAGTCTTGGAAGGTTGTATGTTTCTAAAAGTCCATGCATTTCTTCTAGCTGTTCAGTTTGTTTGCATAAAGACATTTATAGTAGTTTCTTAACGATCTTTTGTATTTCTGTGACATTTGTTGTAATTTTGACTCTCTCATTTCTGATTCTTTTTATCTGGGTTTCCTCACTTCTTAGTGAGCTTTAGCTATGGGTTTATTAATTTGTTTAATCCTTTCAAAGAAGCAGCTCTTGGTTCCATTGATCTTTTGAACTATCTTTTTGTTTTCCATTTCATTTATTTCTCTAATTTTTATTATTTATGATCTGATTTTTTGCTTTCGTTTTTTCTTCTTTTTATAGTTCCTTCTGTTGTCATGTTAGGTTATTTACTTGATATTTTTCTTGTTAACTGATTTGAGCCTGTATTTCTATGTCCTTTCCTCATAAAACCACTATTAGGACGTCCCATGTGATCTGGTGCTTATCTCTCCTCTTTCATTAGTCTTCCAATACTTTGAAATTTCTCCAGTGGTTTTCTTTGACACAGGAGTTATTGAAAAGCATTTTTTTTTTTAGTTTCCACATGTCTTGTTTTTTATTTTTGTGCTTGATTTTTATCATGACACCATTGTGATCAGAGATAATGCTTGTCATAATTTTTATATTCATACTGTTTTTGAGACATGTTGTGTGGCCTATATAATCTGTACCTGAGAATGTTTGTGTGCACTTCAGAAGAATGTGTATTCATTGTTTTGGGATGGCAGGTTCTGAAAATGTCTCTAAATCGCACCTGGTCCATTACACCATTTAAGGGATCTATTTCCTTGTTAACTTTCTGGATGATTTATCCCTTTGGTAAGGATGTGTTGAACTCCTCAACTATTGTGTTTTTGGTAGTTTGTTGCTTTATCTCTGCTAATAATCATTTCATATAATTAGGTACATAAATATTAATGACAGTTATATCTTCTTGATGAATTGTTCCCTTGATTATTACATATTATCATTCTTTGTCCCTTATTACCTTTTTTTAACTGAAAGTCTTAATTTATTAGCTATGAGAATAGCAGTTCCTGCCTTTTTCTTTGTGTTACTGGTTTGAGATACCTGACTTCCAGTCTTTCATTCTAAGTTTGTGTTTGTCTTTAGTTTTTTAATGAGTAACTTGTATGCAAATTATAGATGGCTTTTGTATTTTTTTTTAAAGATTTATTTTTATTTATTTATACAAGCACTGGGTACAGTCAGAAGCACGGGAGGGTGAGAGAATTCACCAGAGCCAGAGCGGGGAGCAGAGCAGGCAGAAGGACCAAAGTACACTGCCGAGGGGAGCAGCGGGCGGCAGGAGAGGTCTGTGCGCCATGTGGGACCCTCCTCCGGTGGCCGGGGAGCAGCCGGGGATTGAACCAGTGCTGCAGAGGCTGAGGGCTGCTTCGCAACCCAGTGCTCAACCGCTGCGCCACCGGGGAGGCTCTGTATTTTTATCCAGTTTGTTATTTGCCTTTTAAATTGGTGAGTTTGGACTATTTAGGATGATGATTGATGCATTAGGTTTATTTACTGTTTCTATCTTTCATTTTAAGGCTGTTTAATCTTTTTGTTGTTTCTTTTTCCATTTGCTTCTCTTTGCTTCTTCATTTGGATGACTTTTGGGGGATGTTGCTTCAGCTTCTGCATTTCTTCTGTGTTTCTCTTTTCTAGATTGTTGTTTTGTGTTTTCCAAGAGGGTTTTATCAAGCTTTTGTTTAAGAAAGTCCTTTATGAGCTGATATCGAATTGTCATTATACAATTTCTCACCCTTTCTTCCTCCCCTTTTGTGGTGTTATCTCATTTTATCCTTGTTCATACTTCTGATTATATATTCCTTTTGTCATTTCTATCAAGGTTCTGTGTTTTATGTTGCTTTTTTTATAAAAGAACTCATTTCAACATTTCTTGTAGGGCAGATTTGGTGTTGATAAGGTCCATTACCTTTTGTTTGGGAATGCTTTTATTTCACTTCCATACTTGAATGATAATTTTGCAGAATAGAATATTCTTGGCTGGCAGGTTTTTTTTTTTTTAGGTTTGTGAACACATCATTCCACTCTCTTCTAGCCTGAAGAGTAACTGCTGAAAAAAGAAGAGAACTTTATCAAGGTGCTTGTGTATGATGCATTCTTTATTTTCTCTACCTCTTGATGAGGTCGTTTTGCATTTAGAATTTTAGGTATTAATTGGCTATCTGAATATCCCTGTTTATCTCTTAGTTTCAGGAAGTTCTGTTAGTATTTCTTTGAATATTGTCGCTGTTCCCCTTTCTCTTTTCCTTCTTGACTATCCAGTGTTGTTATGTTTACTTTTCTAATTAAGTCTGATACTTCTCCTAGAGTTTCTTCATTTTTCCTGTCTTATTACTCTCTACTTCCATTTGCATCATTTTTACATTTGTATCTTCCATTATCATAATTCTTCTGCCAGCTTAAATCTATTTAATATATTTTCCATATTTATCCTCATTTTCTTCAGTGTCTGTTTTGTGTTCTTTCAATGTCTTCAGTCTTTTCAGTGAATAGCTCTTTTTTTGTTCCTGGATCCCTTTTGTAAAATCCTGCACTTTCTGTGTTTGATTGTCCTTCCAGTACTTCATATAGCATTTTTTAAATTGTTATTCTAATATCTTTGTCTATTCGGTCCTCTATTTCTGTGTCCTCTTTCCATGTTCTGCAATACTTACGATTTTTCATCTTGTTTTCAGCTATTTCTTGCTTCCTAGGCATGTGTGTGGCTTTTTTTTACATAGTTACAGTTGGTGCTCTCTGGTTTAAGTTTGTTTGTCTCCTTTGTTTTTCTTGGTGACGTATGAAGGCAGCATGGGGAGCTGAGACTCAAATACATAGTTTCAGTCGTGGTGAGGTATGAAGGCTCTTCCAGGCAGATAGGTCAATTCTATCTCCTCTTTTTTCTCTCTCTAAAGCAGGCTCGCTTCAGGTTTCCTAAATTCCTGCCCCGCCTCCTTGTTTCTTTCTTCTATGATGCGAGGCATATTTCATTAAGCTTGAGTCATTGGGCATGACTGCTAGACATTGACCCACAAGTTGTGAGCATCTGGACATTGGCTGCCTTGCACTCCTGGACAGGTGGCTCCAGGACCCTGGTTGTTGGGCAATGCCTGCTGCCAGACAAGAGCCCTGATGTGCAGGTTGCTGAGTACTCCTCACTTGGGTTTTTCTGAAGGGAGTAGGGAGGAGTTTCTCCCGCCTACACCATTTAACTACCAGATTCCCTTATGCCAGACTGTCTAAGACAGTGCCCAGAGCAGCTCCAAGAGGAGTAGAGGGGTGTCCTGTCTTTCCTCTGGGAGCCGATAGGGACCTCTCTTATCTGTTCGGCTGACTGCCAAACTCCCAACGACCTAGCCTGCATTCTTGTGCATGTGCATGTCTGTCTGCCCCAACCCCTCTCTGAAAAGTCTGGTAGGACCATTGTAGTAGCCTTCCAATCCTGTTCCACAGGCCAGAATTGTTACAGTCCTATCTGGGACCATGTTTCCTTCTTTTCTCTCCATCCTCACAGCAAGCCACCAACCTCAGCACAAAGCCTCCATGGGAAAGACCTCCATATCTATCATGGAACCTACAGAACTTCCTTTGAGCAAATTTTATGCTAATTTTATTTTCCTTTTAGTGTAATGGTTAGGGGAGAGGATTATCCATACCTCTCTGTCTGACCCTGTTGTAGGTGGAGTTTCCATTATCACTTTTATTTTCATCAAAGATAAAAGTGGGGCCTCCCCTAGTGGTGCAGCGGTTGAGTGCTGGGCTGTGAAGCTGCCCGCACCCTCAGCAGTGTATTTCATCAGTCTGCCTGTTCTGTTCCCCACTCTTACTCTGGTGAATTCTCTCACCCTCCCACTGCTTCTGACTGTACCCAGTGCTTGTATAAATAAATAAATCTTTAAAAAAAAGATAAAAGTGTAAGAACTTAAATTATAGTATTCGTTTTCTAGGAGTATATATATTTAAATGTTGAATAACATTTTAGTATAGATAACAAGCCTATTTTAACTTTTTCTGAGTAACGGTGTAATATGTCACACCATCTTTTGATGAAACCTAGTAATCATCAGTATTTTCTGCACATACATATTTCAGATGGGGAAAATATGCAAATAAGGAACAAATTATGTTCAGCAAAGCTGCTTTGTTTGTAAGGAGTTTGGGTGCAATAAATTAGCTCGTGTTTTTCTGTAATCGAGGAGAATGTTGAATGTAGAATCTATTAATCTTAAAATATAGCCAGTAAAGTTATATTAAAATATAGCCAGTAATCGCTTCTCGGCCTTTTGGCTAAGATCAAGTGTAAAATATAGCCAGTAAAGTTATAATTCCTATTTATTGATCTTTGTGCCTTAAATCATAATTGCATTGCAAGTCTTGATATTTTGTTCTGGTGGTCTAGAAACACAATGTATCTTTTTCACCTTAATAGAACCATCAAGAGCAAGAGGGCGAATCCTCAGAGTCAGTTATTCCAGAAAGACAGCAAGATCCATCTCTTTCTGAGGTAGGCCTAGTTGTCTCTTAAAAGACACATGTTGGTTGTTTTCATGTTACTTTTCTTATAAAACCTCCATACTGTAACTTTTTTTATAATTTATAAAGCTGTTTTCCGTCTTTGTTTACTCTCTTTTTACCCTTTTCTTTGGCTTTTTTGGTTGCTGTTTATATTTTAGTAGTTTAAGTCAACAAGTCAAGTAGCATCCATATAGATGTTTATTTGCTTTTACAGATCCTAAGCCATTGGAACAAAGCAAATAGCATCAATTTTTACGTCTATATTGTAGTTGATTATTCCTACGAGAACCTTTATACAGGCTTACTGGGTCTTTTCAGTTTTGGTTATCATATTATGTAACAGTTTTCCTCTGTAAAAATCTGTTCCACAAGCCACACTGTGTTAGAATACAGTTTTAGTTTTTATGATTTAAGCAAAAAAATGTTAAATATATATATATAAAGAACAATCATGTGTTCTCATAAGTCAAAAAATACTTTTTTTTGTAATAACTTTCCTCTGCCATTTCCTCTAGTTCTTTGGCTTCTCCATTGAGAGAAAAGGGATAATTGATTTTATTTCTTCCTGATTCAAAATAGGATAAGTATATAATACTGTGGTTTTTACTCTGAAGTATACTTATTGAGGGTTATGGTATGTATAGGTTTAATTTCAATGAAAATACCATAGGGTAACCCTTGAAATATGAACTATACTTAAAAGATTTTAGGTTAAAATGGAATCAATCTTGTTGCCTCTGCCCAGTTGTACCTCACACCTTTGTTCTATTGTACAGTCACTCATCATCATCCTGAGTCAGAAAATGCAAGGGAAGACTAGGAAAGAGGATGCTCTGGGCTATGTTTTTAACCTGTGTGTAGTACCAGCTGGTATGGAAAGATATCCACCATCTGCTCTAATCATGTACACTTATTGCAGCATGGTTTCTCCATTACAAAAAAGTTACTGTAGACTCCCTGCCCCATCAAAAAAAAGAATAGAATCATCTCCCTCTCTAATCAGATCAAACTAGTTCTGAATCTATGGAAGGAATGACCTTAGATGAAACAAGTGTCACATTTATTGAAAAACACCAAATATAATTTGATTTTGACTCCTAGCTAATGACATCTTAGGTAGAATGCTCTTCGTAGCTGGGACTATCTTAGAAATATGGAGCTAAGTTGTGACCACTGAACTGTTTAGTTATATGTGGATATTATATATATGTAAATATATGTATATGAAAATTATACATCTAGTTTTGTTTGTATTTTGTTGGGTATCTGGGAATTATTTCTGTCTTTAAGCCACAAATGGAATTCTGTATTATGGACTCTGTAGGGTTGAAACTGGTGGCTGTAGGTTTTCTATTTTGTCCCATAAGGTTATTAGGTTTATCATTTGCATGTGGAGGGCTAAGGCCTTCCCACAGACCCCTTCTCTTTTTTGATCCCCCTAAAGAGCTCTACATAATTAATGAGTGGTATGGGGTTTGGGGGAGGTGCTTGGCAGATTGAAAAGCAGTATTTTTGTTTTTGTTTTTGTTTTTCATGGCAGAGTGGTACTGCCAGTCTCAGTCCCATTGTATTTAATGACACATTCTTCTTTGTAGGATTATCAAGATGTTATAGACACTCCTATGGACTTCAGCACTGTGAAAGAAACTTTGGAAGCAGGAAACTATGGTAGTCCTCTGGAATTTTATAAGGATGTCCGCCAAATATTCAGCAACTCCAAAGCTTATACCTCTAATAAAAAATCAAGGGTATGAGAAAGCAATATTCGGTTAATTAAGCATTTAATTACATGCTTATGCATGTAATTAGGTTTAATTTAAAAAGATTTATTGATTTATACAAGCATTGGGTACAGTCAGAAGTGCGGGAGGGTGAGAGAATTCACCAGAGCCAGAGGGGAAAGCAGAGCAGGCAGACTGACGAAATACACTGCTGAGGGGAGCAGCGGGCGTGGCAGAAGTGGTCTGCCGCGCCATGTGGGACCCTTGCCTGGGCGGCCAGGGATCGAACTGGTGCTGCAGAGGCTGCAGGCAGCTTTGCCACCCAGTGCTCAACCGCTGCACCAGCGGGGAGGCCTTGCAATTTTTTATATATATGAAACAACTTTCTCCTACCTGCCTTTTCTTTACTCTTTGTAATACTTATATCTGCTTGATAGGTCAAGGAAAGGAGAGGTAGTCATTTGAGTACCCTTTAATAATTTGATACGTAAAAGTATTTGGCACTATTCATTTAAATATGTGAAATATTTGGGTTAGCTCTGAATATTTATGCTCCCTTTATTATAACAAATAGTGAATTCTATTGGTATAACAGTGTATTCATACTCACATTTAATACTGTCCCTATGTTTTGTCAGAACTTAAATATCTTGAGAACAAAAGATAGTAACAATAATTTTTGTGTTTTGTGATTAGTGGCATCTGATTAACTTTTAAATTATTTGCAAAATAGTTATTTTACTTGGCCACTTACATCTCATGAAATGAATTTTCACTGATTTCTGCAGTCATAATTTTTTAACATTTATTTCTTACATTTACTTTCATGTTTATATATTCTTTAGAACAGTAGGTTATATTTTGAGTCTTTTAAAATATGAACATTTTTCTTATGTTATTACTGTTTGAAAACAGAATTTTTAATGTCTCCATATTCCTCTGTGTGGTAGTTCTATGCTATTTCACTAGTGTTCAGATATTGAAAGATACAGGCTATTTCTAGTTTTTCATTCTACATTAAAAATTTGTGTCTAAAATATGTTAATATTCTTGAGCATAGTTATATTATCTGCACAATTATAGGATATTCCCTTAGGATAAATTCCCACAAGTGAAATTATTAGACAAAGTATATTTATTTTTTTAGGCTTTTAGTACATATTGCAAATTTTCCTTTAGAATATTGTTCCAGTTAAAATATCCAGTGGCTATCTATACAAATTTTATTCTAACCTAGCCCAACATTGGTTATTATCTTTAAAATATTTGTTAATTTTTAGGTGAAAATGGTACCTTTAAAATTCTTCAGAAAAAATATTTCAAGTATATAAAATAGCTCCCATATCTTGTCTGAAGGAATGTTGATCCAGGCATGTTTCTATCTTTTATATAATTAAAAATGTTTCTACAACAAGACTACAATTTTCACCTTTTCAGATTTATAGCATGACGCTGCGATTATCTGCCTTATTTGAAAGTCACATTAAAAATATCATCTCTGAATATAAGTCAGCAATCCAGAGTCAGAAGAGGAAAAGGCCACGGTACAGAAAACGTCTAAGAAGCAGCAGCAGTTCGTTATCTAGTAGCAGAGCCCCCAGGTATGTTACATTGATATAGCATTTTATGTTTTCAAAGCATTTTGTATATATTGCCTAATCTTTGAAGTTTATGAATCGTTTAAGACATCCCAAGACCCAAGAGTTTTTTTTTTTTTTTTTTTAATTCTTGCATCTATGTGAAGTTGAGATGGTGACTCCCAAAATTCTGTTTATATGCATTTGACTATATCAAAGACTTTTTTAAAATTTCAATGATTGAAATTTAACCTTGTCGTATTGCCAATTTTAGGCATTTCACTGAAAAAACAGGAAATTTCTTCTTTGGTCAGCTTAAGCATTTTGTATCATACTGTCTATCATAATATGTTGCTAACAGAAAAAAAAAACACAAAAAACAACTACTCATTTTTATATATTTTTACTTTAGTCCAAAAGGGAAACAGAAACAAATGAAGTTGCAGCCGAAAAATGACCATAATACCTCAGTGTCTTTTGCCAGGACTAGCTCTCCTTTCTCATCTCCTGGTAAATATGTCTTTTGTTTGTAGTGTTATATATCTCAGTTTAGTGCTGGTATTTAGGATGTAGAAGAGGCAGCACGGTTTATAGCTCAAAGAGCAATGAATTTAGATGTAGGAAAGTTGTGCTTTCCCAGTTATATTCTATCTGTGGGGCCCTGAGTAAAACATCAGACCACAGGACTGATACAGTTTCTTCATTTTTAAATGAAGGTTTTAGACTAGATGAGTTTTAAAGGCTCATGGTTATAAAACTCTGTGGCTTTATGATTTTTAATATCGGTAATATCTCAGAATACTCATCTACAATATATTTGCCAACCTAAGAATTAAGGATTCATTATATATGGAGGTGGTTTCATTGGACAGTTTTTTTCTGAAATTCTGTACTTAAAAGCTAAACATGTAATGAACCATTTGTTCTCAAAATGTATTTACTTCTTCAAGCAGTTTTCATTTTGATGTTAGAGTAACATAGCTGAGCATGATATAATTTTTAAAATAGCTCATTTAACTTTCCTGAAAACATGATAATTATGTTAACATTACAGTCTTTTTAAATGCAAGTTTCAGATGCTGCTGAAGGGCTTTCACTATATCTACTTGATGATGAAGTAGATGGGGCATTTTCTTCATCAAGCTTCAGTGGATATAGCCGAAGTGGAAATAGCCATGACCCAGGGAAAGCCAAATCATTTCGGAATAGAGTTTTGCCAATTAAACAAGGTAGGAAAAAAATATGGACAGGGTGTTTATTCTTTGTTTCCTCCGGATGGCAGACAAATCATTTAAAAACTGATGTACTTAGGTAGTACAAATTAACATGTCATTTTATTTAATGAGGATTTTAATGTTGTCAAAATTGAGCAGATAGGGTTTCATATCCACAGCCTGAAAAGGCCCTTAGCACGTTCCCAATAGTTATTTTTAAGCACATTGTAGTCTTTCTAAGTAAAATGTGAAATGAATAGGGAAAAAAAACTCAGACATTCTCTTCCCTTAGGGCCTGATGTCTCACTAATTCAGTGATTTTCAGAGTAGCCTCTGCCTATTTCTAGGAAAACCACAGAGATACTTCAGGAATTCTTAGAAGAACCTTCCCTATTCAACCAGAACAGTTCTTGTTTTTAATTCATATAATGAGCTTCCATGTAACTTCTATTTGAAGAAAAATTTCCACTGCTTAAGAAGAAATCACTAACCTAATTCATTATCTGTATATTTATTTTGGACCATTTCAGGGGGCATCATTTATAAATATTTGAAGATTATAGTTGTTATTCACTTTTCTTCTTGCACTTAGTCCTATGTTATATACCTTGAATGTGTTCAAAGAAAGTTCCAATAGGTTATTCTGTTTTGAAATTTCTTAATAGTTAATAATAAGCTTTTACAAATATCTTTCTACAAAAACACATTTTTATTTTATATAAATTTTTAATAAAGCATTATTGAAGCTTTGAATAACTTAAATATCGACTAACTTAAAAGTAGATTTTTGAAAGATATATTTTATATTGGTTGTGTGAGATATATTGAAACACATTTGATTACTTTAAAATAATTACTGTCTTTAATTTTCTCAATTTGTATCTTGATTCTCTTCTCATCCTGCTGCATCTTGCATACGTTTGTGCTAATTCCTCCTCTTTTTGACCTTCCCTTTACCATCAAGCTTTTAGAAAGAATGGCCTAATACTTCCCATCTCTATTTTCTTTCATTAAGCATTCTTTTATCCTTTGTAAATCCTCTGGTTTCTGTCCCCACCACTCTGCAAAAGCTATTTCCCCAGAATTACCTGTTATCGTCAATGACCAACCAGTGTCCTTTTTTAGTGCCTCTTTCCTTGATCTCTCTGTATGACTGCATGTTAATTGACTAACCCCACTAGGCACGCTACTGCCTGATTTCTTTACTGGTTCTTCTATATCTGTTTCTTCTTTTTTGTCCCTACTTGCAGTTTCCTACTGGTTTATGGCTTTTCGGTTTTGGGTGTTTTTTTTGGGGGGGGTTTAAGGAATCTGATGGCTACATCAGTCATGCTGATGACTCTCCAGATTCATATATCTGTCCTTAAAATCTCTTTATTCTAGCAGCCTCATTTTCAAGTGCTTTCTAAAAAATTTCCCTTTGAGTGCTATCATCCATCTTTCTGTCTGAAACTTTCTTCTTTTTCTGAACTCATTGTTTCAATTACTGGCACCGCCCACCATCTTCCTAGTCACCCAGTTTAAGATTTTGCAGTGTTCTTTGACTTTCCTTCTACTCTTCATATCCTGTTGGTTGCTAGGTTTTGTGAATTATGAAATTCTTTTATACCATTTGAATTTCTAGTCTGTAGTTTCTATTGCTAACCCCTTATTCTCTAGCCTAGTATATTAGTCAGCTGCGGCTGTTACAGTAATATTCCACAGATTAAGTGGTTTAAAGAGCAAATTTATATATACATATATATATATATATACACACACACATACTTAAAGAAAAGATTTATATATACTTAGAGAAAATTTATATATACATATATATACTTAAAGTATATAATTTGATGTTTTAATATATGTATATACTGTGAAATGATCACCATAATCAAACTAATTAACATATCTACATAGCTACTGTGTGTGTTGAAAAAAATTTTTATCCTTCTAGAAGATTTGAAATATACAATGCAGTATGTGAACTATAGTCAACTTGCTGTGCATTAGCTATCCAGAACTTACTCATCCTGCATAACTGATTCTTTGTACCATTTGACCAACACCCCCCATTTCCCCTCCCCCCAGTCCCTGACGGTTACCAACTTACTCTATGCTTCTATGAGTATGATGATTTTAGATTCCACATATAAGTGACATTATGTGTTATTTCTCTTTGTGTCTTGCTTATTTTGCTTTGTATAATGTCTTCCAGCTCCATTCATGCTATGATAATTGGCAAAATTTCCTTCTTTTTTTCTTTTCTTTTTAATTTTTTTAAAAATTTATTTATTTATGCATACAATAGCTGGGGTGTAGGCCATAGATGCGGGGGGTGAGAGGATTCACCAGAGACAGAGTGGGGAGCAGAACAGGCTGACTGACTGAAATATACTGCTGAGGGGAGCAGTGGGCAAGACAGGAGAGGTCTACTTTGCCATGTGGGTCTCTCTCTGGCCGGCCAGGGATCGAACTCATGCTGCAGAGGTTGCGGATTGCTTCATAGTGTGGTGCTTAACCCCTTGGGCCACCAGGGAGGCCATCCTTCTTTTTTTAAAGCTCAATAATATTCCATTGTATAGGATATGTATGTGTATATACACCGCATTTTCTTTATTCACTTATCTGTACCAAGACATTTAGATTTTTGGCTATTGTGAATAATGTTATAGTGAACATAAGAGTACAGATATCTCTTCACAACCCTGTTTTGAATTCCTTTGGCTATATACTCAGAAGTAGGATTGCTGGATCAAATGGTTGTTTTATTTTAATTTTTTTGAGGACTATCCATACTGATTTCCATAATGGATAAACAAATTTATATTCTTTTTTTAATAATAAATTTTATTTTTATATTCCCCATACAATTGCAACCCCTTTATTTTGACCCCAATCCCTCCCCTCCCGCCCCCTACCCCGCATAGAGTGTCTCTGGTTCATAGTTATTTGTTGATTTTGACAAATTTATATTCTTGCCAACAGTGTGCAAGGGTTCCATTTTCTCCACCCTCATGGACATTTGTTATCCTTTATCTTTTTTGATACTAGCCCTTCTAACATGTGTGAGGTGATATTGATTGTGGTTTTGATTCACACCTCTCTGATGATTAAAGATGTTGAATACCTCTTCATATACTTCAAACCGACATATATTTTCTCATGGTTCTAAAGCTCAAAGATCAGGTGCTAGCAGGGTTGGTGTCTGGTGAGGGCTCTCTTTCTGGCTTGCAAATAGCTGCCTTTTTGCTTTAGATTTTCTTTTCACAGATGGGGAGAGAAAATATTCACTAGTGTGTCTCTTCCTCTTCTTATAAAGACATCATTTAGTGCATTAGGGCCCACCCCTCCCTTATAATCATATACTTTAATTTCTGCCTTGAAGACCCTATTTACAAATACAGTCACAATGGGGATTCAGTCTTCCACATAGGTACTAGAAGGAGTGGACATAATTTACTCCATAACACCTAGACTATTAGACTAATCTTGTTACAGTGTTTACTGTACAACCTTAGACTTTGCTACTTCCAATCTTTCCAGTCCACTCTCCTGTTTTCACCTTACCTCACTAGCCATTTCTTCTCAACAGTCTTTGCTGGTTCTTCAGTATTTTTAAATGTTGGAATATCCCGGATCTCAGTCCTTAGCCACGTTTTCCCTCTTTACTTGTTTTCTTAATGAGCTCTTAGTTTTCTTGACCTAAATATCATCTCTTTACTGATAATTTTCCAAATTATATCTCTAGCTATATCCAAATCTCCCCTGAGCACTAGACTGGTATAGCCACCTAAATTTTTCCATTTACTTTTTTAATGTCTTAACTTGGAATCTTGACTTTTTTTTACCACCCTGTCCAAATCTATTTCCCCTTCAGTGTTGTCCAGTTTAACAAAATATCTCTATTACTCATTTGCTCAGATCATAAAACCTGAGAGTTGACCCTCATTTTGTGCTTTAATACTTGACATCTGATCTGTTCAGCAATTCCTGTCAGTTCAAGCTTTAATAACAGAGGTTGATTGTGGAGGCTCCTTTAGAAAGAAATACTCCAAATTTAATCACTTTCCATCACCTCTATTGTTACCTTCCTTATCATGTCTTAACTCAACTATTCTAGTGGGCTTCCAAATGGCTTCTGCTTCCAATATTGCCTCCTTTGTAATCTGTTGTCTCTACAGTGAAAATAGCACTCTTTTTTTTTTAAGATTTATTTTTTTTGTGCATATAAGAGCTGGGGTACAGGCCAGAGATTGGGAGGGGTGAGAGGATTCACCAGAGGCAGAGTGGGGAACAGAACAGGCAGACTGACTGAAACACACTGCTGAGGGGAGCAGTGGGCGAGACAGGAGAGGTCTACTTCGCCGTGTGGGTTTCTCCCTTGCCAGCTGGGGATCGAACTCATGCTGCAGAGGCTGCAGATTGCTTCATAGTGCGGTGCTTAACCCCCTGCACCACCAGGGAAGCCAACAATAGCACTCTTTAAAACTTGTAAATCAGATCTTGTCATTCTCCACCTTGAAAACCTTTCCACTGGCAGTCATTGCTTACTACCCTGTTTTTCTTTTCCACTGCAGTAAAACTGGGTTTATATTTCTTCTGGAATGCTCTTTCTCCAGATTTCACTTTGTTAGATTCTTTTCTCTGATACTATTGCCATAAAAAAGTCTTCCCTGTGGTCTCCCTGGTGGTGCAGGGGTTGAGTCTCAGCACTGTTGGGTTATTACCAGTCACTGCGATGCGGGTTGGATCCCCAGCCAGGGAGCTAACCCACATGGCACAGCAGACCTCTCCTGTCTTGCCCGCTGCTCCCCTCAGCAGTGTGTTTCAGTGGATCTGCCTGTCCGACTCCTTACTCTGTCTCTGGTGAATCCTCTCACCTGCTAACCCCTGCACCTCTGGCCTTCACCCCAGTTCTTGTATGCATAAATGGAAAAAGTTAGATCTTTGGAAAAAAAAGGTCTTCCCTGTCTAAAATACCCCAATTTTTCACATTTTTCTTGCCCTCTTTCTTTTTCTTTGCAGTGCATATCATTAGTTAATATTTGATCATTCATTTGTTCACTTTATTGTCTCTCAACTTTTGTCTACCAAAATATAATTTCAAAGAGCAAGAACTTTTTCTCATTTATTGCCATATCCAAAACTCCAAGCAATGCCTGACTCATAATAGGTAACCAGAAAGAATTTGTTGAAGAAATTAATGAAATTATTCTGATATATATTCCCAGATAATTCTTCCTAGAGTTCTGCACTTAAATATCTGCCCAGCTAACTCACCGCCCATTCTCCCACTTCCATGTCCTTCTCCCTGCTTTCCCTCCTCCAGAGAAAAAATATTAGGGAAAACACAACTTGAGTGTCTTCCATATCATATCCAACAGATTTAGATTCACACTCCAAAACCCTCCATGATTTTATCCCATCTTTCTTTGAGTACCAAAATTTTTTGTGATAGACTGTTTATTTTACATTTAAACCTAAATAACCATTTTATTAATATCAAAGCTTAACTTTAAAAAAATCATTCATCTTGATTTAGATCACTCCCTTGATGGACCCCTTACAAATGGTGATGGCAGAGAGCCCCGGACAGGAATCAAGAGAAAACTTCTTAGTGCATCAGAAGAAGATGAAAACATGGGAAGAGAAGAGAAAGAGAAAAAAGAAACAAAGGAGAAATCACATTCATCTTCCTCAGAGAGTGGAGAGTTAGGATCCAGTTTAAGTTCTGAAAGTACCTGTGGTTCTGATTCTGACTCTGAATCAACTTCCAGAACAGATCAAGATTATGTAGATGGAGACCATGACTATAGCAAATTCATACAAACCAGGCCTAAAAGAAAACTAAGAAAGCAACATGCCAATGGAAAAAGAAACTGGAAGATGAGAGGCACAGGAGGAAGGGGCAGATGGGGTAGATGGGGTAGATGGAGTAGGGGAGGCAGAGGAAGAGGAGGCAGGGGCCGTGGGGTCGAGGAAGAGGTGGAGGTGGTAGTAGGGGGAGAGGGAGAGGGAGAGGAGGAAGAGGCGCTTCTAGAGGAGCCACCAGAGCCAAACGTGCACGCATTGCAGATGATGAATTTGATACTATGTTTTCAGGACGTTTTAGTAGACTGCCTCGAATTAAAACAAGAAACCAAGGCAGAAGGACTGTTTTATATAATGATGATTCTGATAATGACAACTTTGTGTCCACTGAAGATCCTCTGAATCTTGGTACATCCAGATCAGGCAGAGTGCGTAAAATGACAGAAAAAGCCAGGGTTAGCCATCTCATGGGATGGAATTATTAACAGTTAATAAATTTAGAATAATTTAAAAATTTCAATGGCCTTCTACTGCAGGGAATTTACCAGGAAATCTACAAAGCAAGTTGTGTGGGGACTTCTGCTTCCTTTCACATTGGTGCTTTTCCATTATGCCAGTATACATTTGTTTCAAGACTTTTGACCTCCACACTTCATTTGTTCAAACAAGCCTTACTCATTAGGCCTTAAATTTAAAGAAAAAATTGCCCCCCACACACACATATCACAGACACACTACATATTTACTACATTAAAGGAGCATTATTCAGCTTCTTAAGAGTAGCATGACATTTTTATCTCAATGGAATATCCCTCTTTTGCTTTTGTATCACAGAAGTATAGCACCTTCTTATAGAGTTTTATATAGTTTGTTTTTGCCATTTTGATTCCTGTACCCAGTAATAATAACTTTTGCACAATACACCAATCCTAAAGGCAGCTATTAAATGTTTACAGTTTCTATATTGTAAGAACGATCTGGATTATTTTACTCTACCCAGGCCAAACTTTCATGAAATGTACTAAACTGAAGTATATATTTATACTACAGTTTTTTTTGGGGGGTGGGGGGTCCTCGATATGCTTTTCATTGATTTGCTTAATTCATGTTAAAGGTGAGAAAGGGTTGGTGCCTTGTAAATATGTAGCAAATCTTTGTGGTGTGTCCTGATGATGTATGCATTAACTTTATTAAAAAAGAATACTTGAGGTATCAATCTAGACAAGGTGCCAAATGCAAAAGTTTCTTGCATCCATTTTCTTTTCCTGTTATATTTTATTATATTAATAGAACTTGTGTAGCTTAAAAAAATAATTTAAACATTTGAAAAATCTTCATCCACAAAGAATAGCTTCTCTAAATAGTAGCTCAGCTACCTCTATTAACTACAACTACTGGAAATATTAAGTAAATAGATGCTGTTATTCATTTCTAAGGAAAAATAGAACAAGCTTGGTAGGAATGAGTACCCTAAATTATAAGCTGAGAGGTTGTTAATAATCATTAGCTCTCAAATTAATAGTTGTAATTAACAAACTTTCATAAGTATAGTATGCTCTACCTTAGGCTTTTCTTAGAACATTTTTAAGTAAACTTGGGCTACTATATCTCTGCTACCACTTACTATTTAACATCTGTGAGTGACTGGTTTTCTTTGAGTCCTAAAATGTAACAAAGTACCTAGATAGAGTTGGAATGTTTTGGGCAGCCAATATTTTGAATCAACTTTAATAGGTTCTATTCATACCATTCCAAAGGGTTCTTCTGTTAGGGTCTTTCAGAAAAGAACCTTGCTGCAGTGCACACTGATATTTTGAGTCATTCTATAGATGGAAAAGTCTTTAAAACATAATGGTATTGTTTGCAGCAATAGAGTGCATGTGAGTTTCAAGAGCAGTTTTACTCCTTAAATTTGAGAGACTTCAAATTCGCTAATTTGTTACTTAGATTTTTGAGGTGAGGGGGACTATAATATTGATTTTTTTTTTCTGGTAACAGCAGTTATGTTGCACTTAGATCAGACTTGTGGGATAAAAGAAACTTCTTAATGTATACCTACTAATCCCTGGATATTTCTTAAGCTAATGTGTTTGTGTTATGCTTTCCATTATTTCATGCATCTGAAAATTCTTAAGCGCAGGAAATGGAGTATTCTCATAACTTTTGCTTATTTCGTTGGGTTGGGTAGGGGTTATTCTTGGATTAACATCTTTAAGCAGTTTTTTTTTTGGCCATAGAAATATGTTCAGACTTTAAGAAATTATTGTTTTGAATTGTTAATGGCACTAACTTCTGTTGTTGGACAGTAGATCAAGCTGATTTTCTTTTTTCGTTTGTAGTCTTTTTTTCATGAAAGCAAAACTACTTCTGGCTGTAACTCAGCTGCCACTATTTACCCTAACATATTTTCAGAAGCATTCATATTTGATACTTTACATTTGATTTTGCTAAAATACTACTATTTCAGTTATCTGTCTTTTGGTCATTTAGACAAAATTTGTGCCTGTGTTTTTCTGGAATCAATAATCTTTGGCTTACTCTAATCAAAGTGACTTACTTAAAATCATGGATATACCCAAATGTGTATGTATCATGTGTATTTTTTTAGGGTGAAATTTTTGTTGAAATTTTTTTTATGAGGAGCTTACCCCTTGAAATGTAGAATTGCCATTTGTGTGATTGTAGCTATCTCAAGCTTTATTTATAATTTATTTTGAAAAATAAAAATGTCACCTTATTCCCCAAATGTCAAGATTTTCTCAGTTTAGATAATTAGAATAATAAGGCTACAGACATTTTAAACATATTTTATATGTAGTGAAATACTATGAAAATACTAGTGAACAGCATTTTGCTGTAATGTTAATTTCAGTTATTAAGATTTAAAGAGTTAGTCACCAGATTATGTTAGATTAGCAGAGTTACCATTTATTACAAAACAAAACAGATCACTTTCTGTTTGCATGCAAATTATTTTAGTAAGTGAAAAAAAGGTTTGGAAGACAGAATTTTTAGTTTTATATCTGACTGCCCCCCCATCCCCAATTTAGACTTTGCTTTTTTTTGTAACACTGCCTCCAGTGAATGTGTTGTAATTTTTATCACATTGAATATTTTATCACTTTAATTTTTTAGAAGCCCTTTAAACTGAAATTAGATCCAGGTTCAGTCATAGCAAAGCAAGTAGTAAGTGATCTAAAATTTTTGAAGAAAAGTCTAAATCTTAAATGATTGCTACACTTATATTTAGGCCCGTGAGAGCATACACATGTATATGCCTAAATCTATGCTATATATTAATAGTTAGTGAGCTGTAATATTTCTCATTAATGCTAATGATGTTTTAATTCCCAATTTAAGATCTTGGCATGTGTATATATTTATGAAAGTGTGTTTCTTCTATGGCTTGCTATTTGTATCTTGACTACAAGCAATAGGATGCTCTCCAAAACATTCACTAGCCTATTAGCCTAATGATTGTGTGTGTGTGTGTGTGTGTGTGTGTAGGTGTAGTTTATTTTCCAACTTGACAGTTTATCACAAACATTTAAAAAATATTTTTGTGTGTGGAGAACAGCTGTATTTCACTGTCTACCAGTTCTTTGCCTCTGTTGTAAAATGCTTAGCCTATGTGTGTGTGTGTGCACATGCGTGTGTGTATGTGTGTGCGTGTGTATACACACATATATATATTGCTTGATCATTCTCATTATCCTTCTAGATAAACAGTCTAGGATTTGTCTTATCTCTTTTTTGGGGATTAAATTGCTCTTTTTGTTTCTTTTTGTTTCCCTTCCTGGAGAACAGTATTGTGCTAGAATTTTACTATATAATACATTGTTTCACCCAGAGGCTAAAAAACAGTAAAATTCATAATCTCATCCTGCACAACCATGTGCTCAAATGTCTAACTCAGCTTTCCAGTACTTTGAAGTAAATTTGAGTGATTTGTCTTTTTTGTTGTAATCCTGTAGATTGTCATTAGACAATAACAGAGTGATTGAAAGGGAAAGATGTGAATGCTACTTCTAACTTTTTGATAAAAACTTTTTGAACATTTTTCAAAATTTGTATGTTTGTGGTAGTGATAAACACCTTATTACTCGTTTATATATTTCGGGAATTATTTTATGCACATTTACCAACTGGTACTTAAAGTTGGAATTTTCACATCTACAAAGATGACTTACATCCTGTATAATTTTCAGTATACTTTAATATCCATCTTTTTGAACAATTACCAACATTTTGAGTTCCAAAATGAATAGTTTAGTTCTGGAGACAGGGACAGAACTTGACATTAAAGCTCATTGTTTTAAATGTTAACTACATACCCAACATTTTTGTGGTACATGAGACCTTATGAAATTTTTATTGAAAATAAAATATTCTATGATGACTTTTAAGGCTTGTTTTAAAAATTAGTGTGAATATATTTTCATGCTTTTTTTTTTGCTTTTCACCTCAGTAAAGTTTCTTTATCAACTTTCAACTACCAAGTTTTGATTAAATTCTAATATAATTTTTCATGGTGCTGTATTTTATGGAATGTGGATTGCCCTCAAGTTTCTTGACATTTATTTCTTATCTAGCTTATCCTTGGTTAATTTCTTTTCTATCATTCCTCTCCTGCATACTTTTATTTTCACTTCTCTTTGTGCAACGAAGACTGCACCTAATTTAACACACTTCAAGACTGGCAATTTATGATTCATTGATGGGAGAAGTACAGCAGAAAAGCCCTGCAGTTTAGAGTTAAGGTGTATTTGTTTATATGTATGCCCATTTGTTATTCATATACTTGTCTTAATTAAATCTAGAATATGAGACTTTGACTTATAAAAGCATGATAAGTATTTTCTAAAAATAAAACTATTGATACACATTAAAATTGCCATTGGTAACTGAGTTTTAAAAATCACATACAAAAATATTTAGAAACCCAGTTGGGAAATGTGTTTTTACATATGTCATCAGATACACATTAGGCAGTACTATAAATGTTAATTCTTTAAACAATACTGTGGTGATGGCAATCAGTAATTTATTTCTTTGTCCTGTAACTTATCATCCTTGTCTTTTGTAACCCCTTACACAGTATTAACAAATCTGTACCTTATGTTTGTTCTTAGTGTCCATATATTTTAAGATGGAAATATTCAGTTAAAAGTTGATGTAATGTTGTATATGGGCAAAATGTCCATTAAACTTAAATTCAGTAAAGAAAGGTAAACTAAACTGGCTCGACTTATAAAAGATGTTTTGTTTGGCAGTTGTCAGTCCTTACAAGCAATTATCTTCAACAACAAAAAAAATTGGACTAATTTGTTGCCATTCTTTATGGGATGTTTACAATAAAATTCCAAGTTGTTTGGAATCGGTTGCACTCTTACTGCTTTATGCTTTGAGTCAGAAAATGGAGATAATTAACAAGAAGAAGGAAAGATAGAGTTACCTTTCTGTTACCCATCTTCAGAGATTACACCATGTAACTCTTGGGTCTTTGTTGTTTCTTTGTCATAGATTTTTTTTTTTAAATATTTGCTTAGTCTGAGAAATTAGGGTGCTTCTAGCTATCAAAGAAAACTAAGACTTTGTTGCCTTAGTCATTGCAGATACTTTTTGGGTCACTTTTAGGTAATAAATATGGTGTTAACATTTTAAGTGTGGGCTACTGGTGCATTAAACAACAGCCTGCAAAGCATCAGTCAACATTTTGTTTTGTGGAGCTTTTTGAAATGAATAGATTTCTAATGACTTTATTATGGCTTGTGAGTTTTAACAGCTGAGCTATGAACCTCTGGCATTTTAATTACAGTAAATTTGCCCAACAGAGGCAATTACATAAATGTTATAAATGGTGCTTTAAATCAGTGTTAAGTGAAGGAGGGAAAGAAGTGAAGTGAAAGGTGACAAACTAGGAACTGAAAACCTTAATGGGACTATTCATCCTAGTTGTGCATCCATATGCCTACCCAGAATTTTCTTCCCAGTGACAAGAACCCCACTCAATTGAAGGTAAGTAAGCAGACCAAAGACTGGACTGTATGTTTTTTTTAAAACCTATAATATTTGTTTTGTGGATTTAGAATCAAGAAATAGGGCATTTGGAAAAAAATGCCACCTCTATCTTCTGTCATTGTTTCTCCTGACTATGAAAGTCGACCAAATGTTCATGATATTTGAAGGTTGAAGTGTAGATGCACTATTGGACATTTGTGTTTAGTTGCTTAATTGAAGATAATCCTTTTTAAAGGTATGAAAGTGTTACATTAAAAATCCTTTATTAGCAGGCTTTGGTGTTTTCTGACCACCTATTTGATATTTTTAACTAGAAAAAATTTTAATTTTAAAATATTCTAGCATTATTCAAAAGAGGATCCTTTTTTTGTTGTTGTTTCCTAGTTGATGGGGGTCAAGAACAAATTTACGCTGTATTCTCTTTATTATATGCCCCTGACAATTTAAAGCTACTTCCCAAAAATGCATATAATAAGTTGATTCTAGTATATTGAGGCTATGAGTTGGTTTTCTTAGAATTTTTATGCCTATGTACTTGTAGTTGTTAGACACTTCTTTCTTTATATACACTTGAAGGATTTTTTATGCTATTGCTGGCAAACCAAAATGAACATTTTAGAGAATTTTTTTTTATAATGTTAGTATGTTTTCTTTGCCAACTGTGGCAATTGCCTTAATAGTTGCCTCTCATCTGGAGATTACAAGTATGCAGTAGATAATTTTAACTAAGTTACTATTACAAGTTAAAGGTTAACTTGCTATTGGAAAATTTTAAAAACAAATTTCTGAAGCTAGTATCCTTTCATAAATTTGTAAATGTTGAATTGTGAAGTGTGCACAACATGTTTATGATTCTCTTTAATGTTACAAGTTTTATAGTAAATATTGAAGAAATGAAAATATTTGAAATTGTTTTCTTTAGGTTATTAATGGTAGAATTTATTTATTTTGGGAGTGTTTTTGCTGTTGATTTTTGTCATGTTACTATTCTAAAATTTGTATAACAACATGTTAATTTTTATGTCTTTTTTCCCCGATTTTATGATTTGCCAGTTCTTTTAATATATATTAGGAATTTTGTGTACACTGTCAAATCAGTTAAGGCAGTAAGACTCTTAAGGTGTTACTTTATTTTTTTAAGAATGTGTAGAATATTGTGTTTAAATGAGACTTGCAGCCCAAATTGTATAATGATCATTTTTAAGGGGGGGATATTTTGTTATACTTGAGTATTGCTCCTCTAAAATACTGATGAAGTGGTGGTGATTCTGAATTGTTTTCTATTTGTTAAATTTTTACTTTTTATTTAGCACAAACCTTGTATGTATAAATGTTAATTTCACCTCATTTGACCCTATGGAACAGAAAATAGCATTCCCTTGACATTCTTATCATCACATTATCAAGTGATCCTTTCAGTTTTGGGGTTTGCTGTGCATTCTTATTGTAATTGTGATTAGTAATTCTCATGATTAAGAAAAATAGTATTAAGCAAAGATAATAGTTCATGGGAAATATATTTTTTTTCTTTCTGATTGTTGTCTAAAAATGTGACCAGTAAATACAATGACAAGATTTCAACACTGTAGAAATACTAATTTTTTATTGGTTTGCTTTTGAGGATTCAAGCAAATTATTATGAAATGGGAGACTCTAAGTTGTAAATATGAACCTTAAAGATCACGTTTCCCTTTGCTTCTGGCTAAGATCATTTAACATGAGGACATTGAAATATAGATCTTTATGTCTCTTAGTACTTCTGAAAGACAATAGTTAGGGGTAAATTTTTTTCTAAAATACCAGGTTTGGAGTTAAAATAGAGTTCTTAAAGTGTGTCTTCTGCAAGCTTTACACAAGTATAAATACACATGAAAATTGTAGTGTTTACTTAAATCTTAATGTGAGGATTAGTTCTACTAATACATACATGTGCACTTGAAAGTATACTATACAAAATATTTCTATTATATCTACCTTCCACTTACCTTGCCAGTTGCAAAACCTTTTGAATTTAAGTGAGTTTTAGCTACAGCTCTCAAAGAATTCTTCAGGGTTCTGACTTAATCGTGGATTTAATTTAGTTTTAGGTGGTTTTTTTTTGTTTGTTTTCTTTGAGGTGTTTAATTTTTTTTTTAATTTTATCACACTCGTTTTTAAAATATACCCCCAATCCAAAATATACAGGTAAAATAAGAAAGGAAAGCTTTGAACTTTTAGAAAGAAAATATTTACTATCTCAAATGATTTGTATTTTTTTCTTATTTTAAGACTTTGGAGCAGAGCTGGTAGTTGGTGGTAGTGTGAATAGCCCTGTAAATGCAGTAAAGCTGAATTTGAACTCTCACTAACTTGAATCATATATATATGTGTATATATATATATATATATATATATATATAGAGAGAGAGAGAGAGAGAGAGAGAGAGAGAGAGAGAGAGTTATATAGTTATTAAGGAAAAATTTTTTAAGTAAATTATCAGGGCTCATGTATTTGTTATATGGTTGATTTCACCTCTGTGTTGTCAAGGAATGAAGTTTTGTACTGAATTTTGAAAAGGCATTAGGTCTACCCAAGTCGTGCTTGGTTCATGGTCTTTACATTAGTCTCATTTATATCTCACAAATGCCACCTTTTCTCCTTAACCACCTTCCACTTACCCATCCTCATCCTGTGAACAAAAATGTTGGTTTCTAACAGACAGTTAAATTATTCTGTCAACAAAAAATTGCTGTAAAAAATCAAACAGAAAGGGAGTAGAAAATAGAGTATTCTCTCTGAGCTTGCTGCCTAATTTCTAGTCAGTTACTTTTTTTTTTAACCTCCAAGTAGAAAAGTTAATTTTCCTAGCTGGATAGAACAGGTCAGATTTTTCTAACTGATTATACATACACTAATCTTTACTTGTGTTAGGAGAAAATAACCAAAAGTCTGGATTGGATTGGAGCCTTGTGCTATGTACAGTTGGATACCATTCTGTGACCTGGTCTATGTGTTTCATAATGTGTATTAGAAAGAAAGGAGCCTGGGATTAGCTACCATGGTTATAGTGGAGAATAAGGGGATAAAGGAAAGCTAAGGGGAAATATTGAGCTCTTTCTAAGATCTGTCTTATATTTTGGAAGGTGGTAGTTAGGGACTAAAATATTTGAAGAGCGGAATGGGGTTTGGAGAGTTAAATGGGGAAGAAATAACCTAGTTTTCAGGATTTAGGTATCAATGTCTTCAAGCACAGTTTAGGGGACATCCCACATTCATTTTGATTTTTAGAGGAAGGTATTTTGCAAAGGGATCATTGATGGTGATGGTGGGATTTTAATGTAAGAATTATTTTATATTTCTTAATAATTCAACCATTTTATGAAGGTATTACTAGCTTCATATTGTAGATGAGGAAATAGGTACTAAAAAGCAAAGAAACTTGCCCAAGATCATAGACAATAAATGACAGGACTTATACTAAACTCTGTTTCCAAAGCCTATGTGCTTAACTATTATACATGGCAATTCGCATTTTGCTAGTGTTAGACTTGCTGAATTACTTTGGCCAAGTCCCTTTTCTTCATTGGCTTCAATTGTCTTTAGCTGTACAAGGCTTAAGTTGATTGATAAATTATTTCTAAGGTATTTGTAATTTTATTCTTTTAAATTTCTTGCTTATCAATTCTTTATAAATCAATCTGCAAAATACTTCCATCTTGGTAAATTGTATCTCCTTCTGATTGCAGTTGTTTTTTTTTTTGGAGAAAAATACCCCAATGGAACTGCTTCAAGAGGTTTCAGTTTTCATAAGGAAAGCATTAAAAAATATAATTCAAAAAGAGTAAAAGAAGTAATTAGAAAGATTGACTTCTAGAATGACAATGTAAGTTGCTCCACTGACTCAGTCCTCAGTAGTGGAAGGTGGTGAAGACTGTTAAAATAAAACCTCTGGAAATGGTTCTAAAAGGAAACAGAAAATAGGAAGAAATCTGTTTAAGAAATTCATGACATTTTGGTAAGATATGAATATGTGGTATTTGAACCAAGAAGGGAAACTACTGTCTCCCTATGTTATCCCAGGTTAGCTGTATTCTAGACAACTGCAGCCACGGATACAGGTTCTCTTTCCCCCAGCTCTCAGACTATGGGGTTTTTCCCAGGTAGGAGCAGGACATCAGCATTTCTCATCCTGCCATCAGCTATGTGTTACTGAGTCCCAGTGAGTGAGTGACAGGTGGGGGCTCTGTTCTACCCAATCCATTCCCTTCTACCCTTCCATACCAATTATGGAATAAATACTCTAACTTGGTGCTATGGACTGAAGCCTCGATTACCTTTGCCATAGTTCATGAAGTGGTGGTTCTATACCAAAAGACCCCAGGCTGATTTCCCTGTCCCTATTAGTGCTCAAGTCTTAAGTATGGAGGTGATACTCAGAAGCTTGGCAGCACACTCAGCACTAGCTGCAGCCTTGGCTTAGATATTTTGCCAGTGGGGAAGCAGGGGGGAAGTTGGTGGAAGCAGGACATAAAACAGCTTCTAATCTCTTTCCAGAGGAACTGATATATTTGCAAGAGACCTGAGAGTGCTGCTCAAGACCAGTGGAATGTGATGGAAGGCAAGTGAGAGGAGATTTAAGAAACTAAACTAAGCAGGCTGGTATGCAGGAGAGAACCAAGATGTAAGATAATTGGGAAGAGCTCTCCTAAAGGTCAGAATAAATATCAGATACCTCAAAATTTTTCTTTATAGAACAATTTACAGCACAAATCATTGCTGAAACCATTTGTGCAGTCAGCCTATAATTTATGACATTTAATAGCTGTGTGCAGTTAGGGACAGAGAGGAAGATACCCCTACCTAAACTACTGTTATTCCAGGGGGATTCTGGGCATGCAAGAAGGTGAACCTCCATGAGAAGTAACATTAGACTCTTTGACATTATGGAAGGAGTACAGAAAGTTGGTGTGATATACAATATGAAAATTTCTGTTTCTATGCACTGTCAGTGAAGAACTCACAAATTCAGAAATACAAGAGAACAGTTTCATTTACAGTATCAAAAATAAAAAAATACTTAGCCTCTACAAAAGAAGACCTTCACAATGAAGACTACAAAACTTTGAATGAAATTAAAGAACACTAAAATAAATAAAAAGATACATGTGTTCATAGTTTGGAAGACAATATTAAAATGGCAATATGCCCCAAATTGATCTACAATTTCAACTCAATCTTTAGCAAAATCCCAGCAGAAACTAGAAATTTACGTGGAAATGCAAGGGGTCCAGTTCAGAAAAGAATGCATTTGGAGTATTTAGACCTCCCAATTTCAGGCATTACTAAAACCTCCTATAAAATTGGTATTGACATAAATATAAACTGGAATTAAGAGTCCAGGTAAATCATATATATATTATCAGTTGATTTTTGACAACGTTGCCAAAACAATTCAATTAGGTGCATGGGAATGTTTCATATTATGGTAAGTAATGGTTCCACAACTATGTACATATGCTAATTAAATTTAAAAAAAGTCCCTTCAACAAATACTTCTAGGACAACTGTATATCTACTTTCAAAGGAATGAAATTATACCACTATATTACTGTACATAAAAATTAACTCAAAAGTGGATCAGACACCTAAATATAAAAGCTAAAATTATTAAACTTTTTGAAGACAACCTAGGTGTAAATATTTGTTACTTTATATTAGGCAATAGTTTATTAGATATGACACCTAAATCACAAGCAACC